ATTGACTTTATCAATCCATCTCATCTGAGTCTTCCTCTCCTGTGCTGTCAGTCCACCCTTCTGAGCATGATGTCCTTCTCCAAGGACCAGTCTCTCTTGGCAATGTGCCCAAAGTATGTGAGATGGAACTTCAAAATCCTAGCCTCCAAGGAGAAACTTGGTTTCACTTTCTCCAAAACAGATCTATTTGTTTGCTCAAGACTCTTCTCCAGCACCACAACTTGAAGGCATCAATTCATCCTTAGTCATTGTCCAGCTCTCTGATGCACAGTGAGTAATTGTGAAGACCATGGCCTGGATTATGCACACCTTAGTCTCTAGATTGATGTTGTTGCTTTTCAGCACTCTGGAGAGGTCTATGACAGCAGATTTTCCCAATGCACTTTGTCTTTTGATTTCCTGACTGCTGGTGCTAAGAGTGTTGATTGTGGAGCTGAGCAAGCTGTAATTGTTACCAACCTCAACCTCTTCTCCATCTATCCTAGTGCTGCCAGTTGGCCCAGTGGTGAGAATCTTTGTCTTTTTTTTTTTTACTTTTTAAAACATCTTAAATTTTTTATACTTTCTTTACAGGTTACCCAGACCACTTTTGATTAAGAAAACTGTAGAAAGTTAGTAACTGTCACAAGCGGAGGCCCGGTGGTGGCACGGTCAATTCTCCACAGAGTCCTGCTTTGTGGGAGTCTGAATACACTGCTGGGGTCTCTGCTCACACTCTCTGGGTCAATCTCTGCAGATTTTAGTCCACTGGTCGCTTTCCCCCATATTTATTTGTAAATTCCTCTGCGTTCTTACAGAATTTTTTATGGTCCTTATTCTTTGGCTAGGTCAGCCTGGAGAGGGTGTTCAGGCTGGGGGTCGTTCACCAGTGCTATGAGGGACTGGATCACTTGGTCAGTCTTGGTGGCTGGCTTCCAGTTTTCAGCACTAATTACTGGGAGACAGACCTGCCCCTTTTCTTCGATATTCAGGTGGTAGATCTTAGTTTTGAACATTGTGTTCGGTGGTTTGAACAGGTACTCGGCTGGAAAGTTTATTTCGATTCTGAAGGCCCCCTTATCATATGGACGGTTATCAAGAACAAAAAACCCTTGACAGGTCAATAAATTAGCTTCAACAACCTGGACGTTACGGAAGTTTTTCATCCCACATTTGCAGATTTCTTCAAGCTCCTTCATCAGCCTCCTGCTGGCCGCCATCTTGGATCTGGTGCTCAATCTTTGTCTTCTTGATGTTGAGCTTCAATCTATATTGAAGAGTGCAATCCTGATTATGACTTAGAATACTGAATACCCTATGAACTACCAAAAGAACAAACAGATTGGAGATGGTGTAGTCAGAGTGCTCCTTAGAAGCAAGGATGACAAAGCTTCATCTCTCATACTTTATACATGTTGCTAGGAGAGGCTATTCCTTGGAAAAGGATGTCATGCTTGGAAGGATGGGGGCGCCAATGAAAGAGAGGAAGACCTCTATTGAGAGGGATTGACACAGTGACTGCAGCAATGGAGTCAACTGTATCAGAGACGAGGAGGATGCCACAGAATAGGACAGGATTCAGATCCATTGTTCACAGGGTCACTGTGAGTCATATGTGACTCGACGGCACCTAACAATAACAACATGAACAACAGATCAGCACCTTGACTTACCTCCTGCGCTGTTACCAGTCTCCATCATATTCAAGCTTACTGTGACAGTCACTGTGTCAGCTATGTGTGGAAATAAACATAGTGCCCAGAAAGGCAGCCTGTCTAAGGAACTGGTAAATATCATAGCAGCGGAAAGATGGCCCCAACCTTCCCCAGTCTCAGCTGAGCTCCGATCTCATCCTCAATTATTATTAAGTCAACTTCTAACACTTCTTCAGTTGGGAGAACTTCCCCTTTCTCTTCAGGGTTGCTAAAACATATGCTGTGGACCCACCATAGAGAACTTGCCCAGAGAAGTATCCTGGTACATAGATGTGCTCACCTTGTTATGTGTCCAATGACTTTATGGCAGCTCTGCTGGCTCTGACCTCAGAGCATGCTGAAACCAGCCTAGGAGGTAGAGATGAATGAAAGTGCATGGCTCAGACAGTTTGAACTACAAGAAAATCAGGCTACACCTACAGATCACCGCCTTTCACATTCAAGTGCTCTAAGGGGCCAGGCAGGTTCTGTGAACTGTGGAATCAGGAAATAGAGAATAACGAGGTCTCTGGGCCTGCCAAGTCTACTCAGTCTAGGAGTCTGCCAAGTGTTGACACTGATACATGGAAGGCCATGGTTTTAGATCCCTTTTTAGAGGGAGTCAGCATCAGCAGCGAGATTAGAGCATTACCCTGCTTCCATGCCGCCTTCTCTTGGAGTAGTGAGCCTGAAGCTAAGGTAGGCTGGGCAAGCACAGTTTGATAGGATGCCTTTCCAGCCGCATGGAAGATTTGCCTGACTCCTGCTCTGGAAAGCTTTGACTGAATTGCAATGTGTGTGTTGACCGTTCCGGAGATCCCAAATCCAAACTCACTGCTGTCATGTTGGTTCTTATTCATAGTGACCCTCCATCGATTTCTGAGGCTGTAACTCTTTATAGAAGATTTTATCCTTCAGAGGGATTAGAGGATTCCAACTGCTGACCTTTTGATTGTTGTCACTGTTATGTGTCCTCCAGTGAGTTGCTAGACACACTGAATTTCATAGGAAGAGACTGCCTGTTTTTCTCCTGCAGAGCAGCTGGTGGGTTTGAACTGTGTGCCTTTGGATTGGTAGTGCAACTCCTTACCACTAAGCCATCAGAGTTCCCTGACCCTAATGTTATGTACCAGGCCATCCAGGCTTCTTTTAGGGTCACATGCATGTTAAGAGTGACTACCTAAAGAGTCTAAAGTCTAAATCTAATTCAGTGCCTCTCCTGGGAGAATTCCACAGCTCAGTGAAGATTTGTAGGTGAGATTATTTATCATTGTTATTGTTGTCAGGTGCCACCAAGTTGACTGTTACTGTTCATAGAGACCCCATAAGCAACAGATCAGAACTTTGTCCTATCCTGGGACATCCTCACAACCTCCAATATGCTCGAGCCCACTATTATAGACACTGCATCTATTATTCCAATGCATCTCATTGAGGCTCTGTCTCTTTTTCTCTGGCCTTCTGCCTTTCCCAGCATGATGTCTTTTTCCAAGGACTGAAAAGATGTTTGAGGGCAGGACTTTTCCAGCTTTCCCAGTCATCCTGTGGAAAAAGTAACCCAAGGACCTCTTAGCTGTGGTTCTGAAGAGCTTTCCTAAATCAGGCCTCTGTCTGGGCTGATGCCAGTGAGAGGCTGTTGTTGTGCACTGTTGAGTTAGACCTGACCCATAGCTGACCCTCCTGTGTACATTCAGGTGCCATTAGTCACACTAACTGGGAGGAGACTGCCATCTTTCTGCGATGGAGCAGCTGGTGGATTCAAACTGTGTACCTTTGTGTTGCCAGTGTAACTCCTTAACACTAGGCCACCACAGTGAGAGGCTGGAGAGTGGCTAAACCTTAAGTACACAGAATCCAGAGTTGTTCTTTAGAGTCTTATTACCTGTTTCATTCAGAATTTTGTATAATTGCCTCCTCTCTTTCCTTGCAGTCATTTATAATTTCTCACCTTTGTCACCCAATTAACTTGAGGCATCGGGAGGGAAAGTGGAGGGGCTTCTGGCCCAGAAGACCAGAAAGAAGATGGGGTTTAGCAAGCTCAGCAGAGCACCGCATGCACCCCTCGCTGTGATGAGGAGAGAAGACATTTAAATAATCTTGATAGTAATCAGGAAGAAGCAATAACTGTAATTACCATTACCCCTTAAAGGAGATGGAATCAGCTTTAGCACTCACTGTGTCATGAGCAAAATGAATGAAGGAGCAGTTATCTCAAATTTATCTATTAATAAGTTATCCTTTCTGTTGGAAAAATCAAAGCAACAATCCACTTGATACCTCAAATTTATCTATTAATAAGTTATCCTTTCTGTTGGAAAAATCAAAGCAACAATCCACTTGATGCTTAAAATTGATCCCTGCACTAAAACAGACTCATTCTGTGGTTTACCTCTGCCCGGCGGCTCTTACAGGTTAAAGGGAATCCAGGTGATGAACCCCGCAGGCTCTCTTTGAAATCCTCTGTGCTTCTGCCCAATCTGTGCACGTTCTTCTGAGAGATGTAAAGGCCCGTTCCTCTGATGGTTGGCAAGAGTCACCGTGTCTTTGGAGGGAAATTTGCATCAGTCAGTGCTGCAGAAGCCCAAAAGAAGCAGCAATTTCAAGCAACTGGTTCAGGGAGGGCTGAGCCAAGGGTGCTTCTCCACTTTATTTTTATCAGATGGTACAATGGGCTCCCTATGAACCTGAAGAAAGTGTGAAAGTTATACAAGTGTCCAGGTCTTTCATTCAAAGGGTTGCCATGAGTCGCCTATGACTCATTGGCACATAACAATAACAACAACACCAGCATAGAGAGCGGTCAGGCAGCCTAGCGGGCAGAAAGTGACACTACCAAGCCAAAGGTGGGCAACTCTAGTCTGCGGCCCTCAGGCCTGTCTTTAATTGATTTTGGTGAAACCTTCTTCTAGGTTGTATAACCCTGGTATGTCCACTTGCCGTGCAGAGGGGAAACTCGTGGTTGCTGTGAAGCTGAACACTATGACAGTGGTGTGCCAAATGTGAGAGTGGTTACCCATGGTGGACAGTGGTGGAGCTGCCAAATTAAAACAGGCTTGGAAGCAGGAGTGGCAGCCACTTCTGAAAATAGCTTGCCTCTGGAAACCCTATGAACCTGGAGAAAGGACGAAAGTTATACGAGTGTCCAGGTCTTTTGTTCATAGGGTCGCTGTGAGTCGCCTACTACTCGATGGCACTTAACAACCACCACCACCACCACCACCACCTCACTTTTTTCCTTCTAGCAATGGGATGAGACTGAAGAGGTGGCTGGGGGAGGTGGCCTGCAGAGTTACCTTACTCACAGGCACACTGTGCTTTCCACTGCAGGCCGGGTCCAGATGCTGCCCCAGGCTGTGTGCCTGCTGCACGCGCTGCTGGAGAATGGACACACGGTGTACGTGCACTGCAATGCTGGCGTGGGCCGCTCTACGGCCGCCGTGTGCGGGTGGCTGCAGTACGTGCAGGGCTGGAGCCCCCGGAAGGTGCAGTACTTCCTCCTGGCCAAGAGGCCCGCGGTGTACATAGACGAGGACGCACTGGCTCGGGCCCAAGAGGATTTTGTGCGGAAGTTTGGGCACGTTCGGTCCTCCCTGCGCTGTTCCTAGAGTCAGCTGGCCTGCCACCTGTCCTCCTGATTCCGACCAAGAGGCCAAGGAACAGGAAGGTTCCAGAAAGACATAATGTCCCTCATCCCCAAAGCAGTGGTGAGGCTTTGTCCCCATGCCTGTCCCCTATGGTCTGGGCAGAGTTCCTATTATATTTTGGCCAGCCTGTCCCTGCTTTGAAATATTTCACAGAGGAACCGGTGACTGTAACTGACACACAAGTAAAAGCCAAAAGCATGTGGGCGTGCAATGTTGTCCCAGCTTCAGACAGGAAGGTAACAGGGCCAGCTGCCGCCGCCCGTGGGTACAGGAGTCCTTGGCTTCCCTTGCACCACGTGCGTTCCATTATGAATTCATGGCTGCACTCCCTTGCTGCATTGTAACTATTGTAGCGCAGAGGGGGAAACAGAAACGAAAACAAACAGCAGGTAAGGTAGCTGTCACACACTTTTGTGCAAACACAGACACAGCCATGCGTACACTGCTTTGCTGTTGAACTGAAATTAGGAAATGAAAGCCAGGCTTCTTCCCAAAGGGAGTTAAGTGTTGGAGACCTCTCTGGCTGAAAAGCGATGGTTTTCTAGACATCTTAGCCTGCAACTCTTGAAGTCTATTGCAAGGTGTCACCTTCCTTACCCATATCAAACCTGAGAGACAAGTGAAGACTAGTTGCCCGTGTCTATTTTTCCTTTATGTTTAAGTTCTGAGAGGTTAAAATGCTTGCACAAGGTCCCCTGGCTCATCAGAGGAGGCGCTGTAGGTCACAGCCCTTGTTGATCCGTCTTCTAGCTCAGAACTGTTACCATCACTGCTTGTTTTGGTGACACTGTATGACGAATTCACTCTGAGACTTAGATCTCTATCTCTGCAGCAGTTTCTACACTATTCTGATCAGCTGTCAAGAAATTTAGGATTGTAGTTGTGCTCTGTGGGACCTGATCTGAAAGATAAAGAGGCCTTCTGAGGGCCAAGGAGGCCAGAGTCACCACACAGGAAAGGGAATCTGATGCCCAAGGAGCCCAGTGCTGCCAAAGCACTGGTAATTGTTGCACAGCTCAGTCCCGATGTCAGTTCAAACCAGCCAGCAGTCACTGATTCTCTAGAATATGAAGTTCACTGCTCTGAGTTCTACAGAGATGAGCAGGACTTTGTCTTGAAGGAGCTCATGGCGTGGGAACAGACTCATGTTCAACCAACTCTTAATTCAATATTGAAATGTGAATCGTGGGCTGGAGCAGGGACTGGGAAGCCATTTTTATTGGATGCCTCTTAAATTCTGATGACTTTACAAGCATATCCAGCTGCTCTTCCTTCCTCCCTGTTGGAGAAGTTTCACTCACTCCATTATACAGGTGAGGAAATGAAGGCACAGAGAGGTTAAGTGTTACATGTGAGCAAATAGGTAAACTGAGATACAAAGCTAGGTGTTTGACTCTAAGCCATTGGGTTTTATGTGTGTTTTTTCTCCTTTACTAAGTGGAAATGCTTATTTTATTCTCCTCCTTCCTTCCCTTTGCAAATATTTATTGATATATAGGAGAGAATAATTTAGGAGCCATGGAGGATAAAAAAAGGACACAAGGTAAGCTTCAGCGGAGTTCTCAGGCATGAGATGATTTAAAGCTGTGGCGTTTGGGGAGACGGTATTTGATTTAGGCAGAGAAGGATAGACAGACCATTTCTTCTACCTTTTAACAGAGTTAGATTTATAAGCCAGTATTGAATAATGTGAAGTCTAGCTCCCTTGCTAAAAATAACTGCAGATAACTAATGTATTAAAATAACCTATTCACTGTAATAATGACTTAGGTAAAATTTAATCTTCAGTACTGTGTTTTTCTAAATCATGTGCATGTTTCTGTGTATATTTCCTTAATATTGAAGAAATTCTGTTCCGCTCCCTCCACGACAGGCAATCTTGGGCGAATTTCCTCCCCCAGCCCCTTTTCTGCTGATGGACAAAATCAGTTTAGGGACATTAAAGGCTGTTTTGGAATAATCTCTCTTGTCATTTATGAATGGATTGTGTAATGTATTTTGAAGGCGCCTAGAATTTTTGCTAAATAAAAACATTAAAAAATGACCTTTGTCTACATGTTTGTTTGGTTTTTAAAAAAATTTTATCAATGTAGCCTGAAATTCAAAGGAACAAACTGTGCTTCCTTATTTGTAAAGGGCACTCAACTGAGCTAAATTGTTTTCTTTTCCCCCTTGTCATCCTTACTCTCTCATTAGCTGATCAAAATTGGCAGTAACATGACAAAAGGAAGTCACACGTGAGGGCACCGTGAAGAAGTGAGGATGAAAAACTCAAGAGTGTGTCAGAGCAAATCAAAGCAGATACTGTTCGATTAGCGGCTTGTCACTGCCATTAGCCAAACTTTCAGTCACAGATTTCTCAGAGGAAACCATGAGACAGTCTCCCTCTTATTACAGGAATAAGTCCAAGCATGCCTACTCTTAGACTTGAAAGATTGACCCTCAATTATTTAGAGTGCCATTATTAGAAATCTATGAAAATAAATGTTTCCTTTGCATCAAGATTATGGTGTGAGTGAAAACCACTTGTCTTGGCCAAAGAAATAATGATGAAGAAAATGTCATTAGAATTTTGATAACTCTAAGGAAGTAATGAAAGAAGAATTGAGAGAGCAGAGAAATGAAATGAATGTTTTTTGACACATTAAAAAACAAACACATGCAAATGGAACACTAAAAATAGCTAGATATTACATTCTGTTACCTCGAAGACTGGCATGTATTGAAGAAAATATGATCTAATTCTTGTATTTTACAAAGAAGTAGACCAAGATCTTGAGACATCCAATAATTTTCCTGGGACTGGGTTATAATTGAGCATCAGAAGTAATGATGGGTCAGGAGATTTACTGTGGTGTTGAGGAATCACAGGCAGTTTATCAGAATGAGAGCAGACGGTACATTTAATGGGGAGAGTGAGGGGCAAGATTAATGGAAAGGAAGTGGAAGAAGGGTGGGTAAAAGCAAAGTAAAATATACAAGAGAAGACCACATAAGTACTTTCAGCAGATGCAAATGAGTTGATTCTGATTCACTGTGACACTGCTGGATTTCTGAAGCTGTAAATCTCAATGAGAGGCGACTGCTCATCTTTCTTCTGTGGAACTGTTGATGGGTAAAGTACCAGCTAGATGCAGTGGGGTGAGAGGTGCAGAGTCGTAATACCCACTAGAAAAAGAAAAATTAGAAGATAAAAATCATTACTTTGGGATCTATTTCTACTCATGGCATCCTTCCCTCGGATTTCCGAAGCTGAAAGTCTTGATGGGAGGAGACTGTCTGTCTTTCTCACTCTGATCAATTGATTGATTGAAGCTGCTGACTTTTTTTGGGTTAGCAGTGCAACATGTAACCAAATACACCACCAGAGCTGCTTGATAGAAAATAGAAGAATAAAGAGAAAGGATTGGTAGACACTTCATGGTAGTGATAACCAACAGAGAAGGAAGAACCATAATAAAACCCTTTTCTTTCCTTCACTACTTCTTTTCTTCCATTACTTCAAAATCTCTCCCAAATTGGTTAATCAAATTTACAGCTGTTCAGCTTCAAACCAAGAATCATTTTGGACTTTCCTATGTTACTCTCAACCCTTCAAGAAGATTCTATCTCTTCCCTGTAAAAATATCTATAAAATCTAGATAGTCGTATATATTCCCCCAAACCCTGGTCAGAGCCAATACAATACCTAGACTAGATTTTAGAGAAAGCCTCTATTTTTCTGCTTCTGTCTTTTCCATTTCCCTGCTTTCAGCTCCTATCTGTCACTATTAAGTATACTCTCATCCAGTGGCTAGGAGGTCCTAAAAAATGTAATCAAATTGTATCACTTCTCTGTTCAGACCTCCAGTGACTTTCTATAACTCTCAGGAACATACCCTTCAAAGACTTACACAATCTGGTCTCTTGTCACATCTTTAAGTTCATCTCCTATAACCTCTACCACATTCACTTTTCTCTGGTGATACTTTTTCTGTTCTTTGCACATTCTTGACGAACTCTGCCTCAAAGAACTTGTATTTACTCTTCTCTTCCTGCCTGAAATGTTCTTGTCTTTATATTTGCACATGACTCACTCATAACTCCTTCAGTAGAGATATTCTGGAGCATATTAAAATATGAAACACATAACCTGTGTCCAATTATTATAAAATGTACCAATTCTTTTTTGTTTTATTATTTTATGTATCCTCTCACTATAATGGATATATCATAAAGGTAGAACTTTCATGTTGGAAGCAGGAGTGGCATCCACTTCCTAAATTACATGCCTCTGGAAACGCTATGAACTTTGGTAAATGTCGATAGTTATAGAGGGGCTTCAGGCCTTTTGTTCATAAGGTCACTATGAGTCATGCTCAACTCAAAGATAATCAACAACAACAACAACAACAACAACAATAACAGAACTTTTATCAGTTTTGTTTGGTGACATACTTAGAAGATTTATGACAGGGTTTGGAGATTATCTTTCAATATGACTTCTGCTAGTCATTGTTTGACTTTGCTATGTAGATGGGTGGGAATATGCAAATAGGATGTGTTAGCCTACGTATAAGGTAATTGGCTATCCACCAATCCATAAGGAGATTGACCTGTCTCAACAATCTACAAGGGGATTGGCTAGTGTTGCCAATAAATTGAATAGTTCTAGCCACAGAGACAGATTTTGTGGTGATGTTGAAAAGAAATCAAGAACGTTTATACATTCTAGACCTTCTTGCTCCAGCTACACCTGAGGCAGCAACACCTACACCTACTTATGACTAAACTGTAGACCTGATGTGAGGTGGGGCCTTGGTGGCAGGGGACATGGGGTAGTGAGAGGAGAGCCAGTATTGGCAGGACTAAGAACTTTGTTGGACAACTAGGGGTGGGAAGTCAATATTGGCAGGACTTAGAATTTGGGAACACTGGCCTGAAGCTATGAGGCTGAGGTGCCTATGTACACATTTCAGGAG